CCGTTTGGGGGCCTCCCTGGCCGACTTGGGGCCCTGGTGGGGTGCTCCAGGGCCGTCTTGGGCGTGTTGGAGGCCTTTTGTGTCGTCTTTGTGCCCTCTTGGGGCTGTCTTGGGGGCCTCTTGGGCAGTCCTGAGGCCATCTTGGAGGCCTCTTGGGCACTGTGGGGGCGATCTTGGGGGCCTCTTGGGCTTTCTTGGGTCTTCGGAAAGTCGAGAAGAAGCGAATGCCAAAATCCTTCAAAAACCTAAGGACAATCAATGAGTTTGGCCTTTTCGGGCCCTCCTGGAGGCCCTCTTGGAGGCCTCTTGGGCCGTCTTGGAGGCCTCTGGGGGGCCTCTTCGGCCGTCTTGGACTCTCTTGGGCCGTATGGGAGGCTGTCTTGGACCATCTTGGGCGGACTTGGAGGCCATCTTGGGCCATCTTCGCAATTTTTCGAGGATGTCCCTAGCGAAACGGCCCCGGGACCCGGGGACCCCGGCGGGACGGGCCGAAGCCCCAGGGGAAGTTCTTTCGGAAAAAGAACCGAAACCAAAACCGATAGGGTTCAGCATGCCAGGCACCCCTGCGATGAATTGACAGGGGCGGCGGATCGAAGACGCCTACAGCGAATCACCGCCGCCCCCTGAGCTTGGCCAAGCTATCGGACCATGTGTTCCCCGAGTCGATTGGAAAGGTTTCGGGGAACGCGGGGGGGAGGACGGGGAGGAGGAAGAGAAGGAGGAAAAAGGAGAAGGGGTTTGCCTCTTCGGAGCCTTTTGAGGCACTCTTGGGCTCGATTGGACCATCTTCGGACCGTCTTGGAGACCATGTTGGGGCTATCTTTGGCTCTCTTGGGGCCTCTTGAGGGCGTCTTGGGACCCTTTTGGGGCTTCTCGGGGGCTTCTTTGGCCGTCGTATGGCGTTCCTGGCCCGTCTGACGTCGTCGGGGGCCGTCTTGGGGGCCTCTCTGAAACGATTTGGGGCCCTGGTGGGGCGCTTCGGGTCCGTCTTGGAGGCCATCTTGGGCGTCTTGGAGGCCCCTTGGGCCGTCTTCGGGCCCTCCTGGGCCGTCTTGGGGGCGTCATGGGCCGTCATGGGGCTATCTTGGAGGCCTCTTGGGCGATCTTGGGGCGATCTTGGGGGTCTCTTGGGCCGTCTTGGGCCGTCGGAAAGCGGAAAAGGCGCAAATGCCAGAATCATTCAAAAACCAAAGGACAATCAATGACTTTGGCGTCGTCGGGCCTTCCTGGAGGACCTCTTGGAGGCGTCTTGGGCCGACTTGGAGGCCTGTTGGGGGCCTCTTCGGCCGTCTTGGGCCATCTTGAGGCCATCTAAGGCCGTCTTGGGTGTATATTGGGCCGTCTTCAAGGCATCTTGGGGCCATCGTAGACGTCTTGGAGGCCATCTTGGCCGTGTTCGGGACATCTTGGAGGCTATATTGGGCCATCTTGGCCGTCTTCGAGGCCATCGAGGGCGTCTTGGAGGCCCCTTGGGCCGTCTTGGGGCCCTCTTGTGGCCGTCTTGGGGCCTCCTTGGGGCCGTCTTGGGGCCATCTTGGGCCGTCATGGGGCCATCTTGGAAGCCTCTCGGGCGATCTTCGGGCGACATTGGGACCTCTTGGGCCGTCTTGGGCCGACCGAAAGCCGAAAAGGCGCAAATGCCCAAATCATTGAAACAGCTAAAGAAAATCAATGATGTTGACCTCTGCGGGCCTTCCTTGAGGACCTCTTGGAGGCCTCTTGGGCCATCTTGGAGGCCTCTTGCGGGCCTTTTGGGCCCATCTACAGACGGATAAAAAAAAGTTGGAAACGAAATTCATCATTTGTCGCATGGAAGAATTTGAGCACGCATCATATCAACGGCAACTTCCATCAGCCACATGCAGTGCTGCGCGCACGTCGAGCCGGCGTGGGCCAGATGGTTGGCTAAAATTCTGCACCGCTTGGATCGCGCCTGGGCAGCGGCCCCATCCGCTCGGCGGCGGCCCCGTCCGCGCTTGAACCGCCTTGAGACTGCCCGACTCCTAATTTAGTAAAGAACGAGTGTCGGATGAGTCTCAAAATCTGCGCGACATTGTATACATTCACACACCAGACGCGTCCAATGGCGGTCCCAAAGCGGCCTCAAACAGTCTCAAGTGGATTCAGAGTGCCCGAAACCCTCGGCGCCGAGCACCAACCAACCAATCACGCGGGAGTTGGTGCGCAGAGTGCGTACTCCACCGCGTGTGCATGTGTGTCTGCGTGCGTGCGTAGTGGTTTGTGGTGCGCGTGCGTGCGTAGTTGGTGGTATGTGCGCGCACATACAGCGACGCGCTGCGTTGCGACCACGCTCGATGCAACGCAAGGCCATGCAGAACAATGGGACCGAAACGTCCGCACGCATTTGGCTAAATGTGGACATCGCGCTTTCGCGCAAGGCATTCAGTAACACTGCAACCTCAATGGTGACGCCTCGAAGAACGTGGCCCCCAGGCGAGCGCGAAATCCATTTCCAAGCATTTCTTCTCGGACTGTAAGTCCGTTTTGGGTGCATCTTGGGCCGTCTTGGGGGCATCACGGGGCCATCTTAGCCGTCTTGGATGCCATCTTGGCCGTCTTCGAGGCCATCGAGGGCGTCTTGGAGTCCTGTTGGGCCATCTTGGGGCCCTCGTGGGGCCGTCTTTGAGGCCTCTTGGGCTGTCACGGGGCCATGTTGGAGGACTCTTGGGCGATTTGGGGGCGATTTTGGGGTCTCTTGGTGTTTCCGACAAATCTTGCGGATCCAGCATGCTTACTATTCTCGGGTGTCCAACGCCGAAGTTATATCACTTGCTCAAGCTGATCTCCTGAGTGAGACATTGCGTACCAGGTAAGTGCAAGCCTACGACAAGATCTCCAGCCTGCCCGACGATAACTTTTGAAGCAGTTGGTTTGCCAGCCAGGGAGCACTGCGCCAAGACAGTGGCACTTGGTCCGGAAGCGCGGTCGCCCTAAGCTGCAATGGGCTCAGTGTGTGTGCAAGTTGGCCCACTAATCGTCTACGCGTTGGTGTCCCGGGGGCCCGCTAAAGCGCAGGCCGCGTGCAGATCTCAAGTTATGCGTATCATAATATCCTCCCTCTCCTCCCCTCCCCTCTCCTTTCCTCCCCCCAACGCTTCCGTTTGGCAGGCATGCAGGTCATCGTGCGAATTTATATGCGTGCGCCGGGCCGGCCCTAATAGAGTGTAGGTCTGCAGTGCTGTTGCATTTCCTGCTAATCTGTTTCATGGAATCTGTGAGCCAATCGTGCTCCTGTCGATTCCTTGCCGATGCGCCGCTGCCTGGCGCCTGGCTTACTGACTGACTGACTGGGCCGTCTGGGGCCGTCGGAAAGCGGAAAAGGCGCAAACGCCAAAATTATTCAAAAAACGAACGAAGATCAATGCTTTTGGCTCTTCGAGCTTTCCTGCAGGACCTCTTGGAGGCCTCTTGGGCCGTCTTGGGGGCTTCTGGGGGCCCTCTTGGGCCGTCTTCGGCCGTCTTCAGGCTATCTTAGACCGTGTAGGGTACATTTTGGCTCGTCTTGGAGGCATCTTGGGGCCATCTGAGCCGTCTTGGAGGCCGTCTTGGCCGTCTTGGAGGCATCTTGGCCGTCTTCGAGGCCATCTCGGGGCCGTCCGGGGCAGGACAACCGTTTGTAACCGGGTCTTCCGGGTGGCCGGCAGGACGGGCCGGAACCCCAGGGGGAGCTCTTTTGGAAAAAGAACCAAAACCAAGAATCGTATCATCCAGCACGCCAGGCACCCCTTTGATAAATCAAAAGGGGGCGGCGGATCGATTGACCTTTGGCCCATCCCGCCACCGTTCCTTGGTTGTGGGTGAGAGCTCTCGAGGATGTTTCTTGGGGTATATTCGGAGCGCTCTCGGGGGCCTTTTTGGGGCAGTTTTAGGGCCTTTTTGGAGCCTCTCTTGGGGTATTATTTTGGCCTCGTGGGGCATCTTGGGGGCCTCCTGGGGGCCTCTCCTGGGTAGTCGAAGGCCAGACTGTCAGATTGGATTGGGCCCCAAGGGCCAATCTGGCCCGGCCAAACTGGATGATTTGGGTTACTCGCCAGACTGGATTCGCGTTGGCTCCCTCGCCAGATTGCCCCCGTTTGCCAGACTGGGCCTGCCAGATTGGCGCCAGATTGGTTTCGACTACCCAGCTCTCGGAGCCTCTCGGGGGCCCCTTGGGGTCGAGGGTTCGAAATGTCCGCTGGGGTCCACCATCTGTCCCCGTCTAAGAATCGTCTTCGGGACCTCTTGAGCCGTCTTGGGCGCCTCTTGGGCCGTCTTGGGGCCCTCTTGGGCCGTTTGGGTGCCCAATTGGAGGCCTCTTGGGCCGTCTCGGGGCGATCTTGGGGGCCTCGAGGGCCGTCTAGGGGCGTTGGGAAGCCGAAAAGGCGAGAGAGCCAGACACCTTCAAACACCGAAGGAACATGCATGATTTTGCGGGCTCCTTGGGGGGCCTCTTGGAGGCCTGTTGGAGCGTATTGGAGGTCTCCTGGGCTGTGTGCGGGCCATCTCGCGCGTCTTGGGCCGATCTCTGGACGTATGGGGGTTTTCTTGGCCCGTCTTGGGGCCCTTTTCGGCTTGAAGAATGAATTCATGCGGGAAGCCGCGGGGGAGCCCATGGGGCACGCCAGAAACCCTGGTAGATTTCGGAATTTCGGGTCGGGGTCGACTGACCTCCCAAGACTGAAGACTGAGGCTCACGGGATTTGGCAAATGACCTGAGGACACGCCCATTCCGTGCCCAGCGGCACGGTGGCGGTGGTTGATTTTCATCACTGCTCCTAGCGTTTTTCGTTTCGTCATTGTTCTCTTCAGCGTCGTAGTTGCTTGCTTGTTCTTCATACGGATGCGTCTCGTTATTATGAGTATTCCTATTGGCCTTGCCCCTTTCACTATCATTGCGCCGTCTCTCATCATCATGCTTCTTTGTTTGTTTCTCTCTTCTTTTACTCATCTTGGGTTTGTTCTGCTGTGGACCCGGTCTCTTCCACTCCCGCGCCAGACAGGAGCCCCACGCCCCGCTGCCCCTCGGCCTGGTGGAGCAGCTCACGGAGGAGCGCGCGGCCCCATCCCGGGGCATGCAGGCAGAGGAAATGTGGAGACGCCTCCCTGTGGGCATGCCGCCTCCTCCCCAGCCTCCCTCGGGCTACGAAACGATCGCGACGGGAGGTTTGTCGCCATTTTCGGCCTCTGGGGACCCTTGCCGGCCCCCGGGACCGTGAAGCAACGACTCGGGACGAACACCGGCCCCAGGGACTGGGTCGAGACCTCTGGGGGCCGACGTCATGAAGAGAGCATGATGTCGGTGGTCGGGGTCCTCCCTCCTCACTTTTCATCTGTCTCGAGTTTCGTGTGTCCAACAACGCTACAATCCAGAGGCCACGGCGTCACCCACCTGGTCTTGGCCAGGTCCGGACGCTGGTGCGTTGCGGTGGTTGATCGATCGATCGTCTTGCAGGCGTGAAGCAACACATGTGAGAGAAACGCTGGCAACCATGACATTCCGTGATGTTTGTTTGTGTGTGTGGAAGTCATCCGTTGCAGCATTGAAGAATTGCACAGGGAACCATTAATCAATTAATCGGTTTAGAACCTGTATGCGCAATGTATGTGCAGAACTCTTGATACCCATCATGTTTCGAACGCGTCCTGGCTTCCCTTCTGGCTTAGACTGTCTTGTTCTGACACATCGGGATTATGTTCCAAGAGCATTGTTTTTGTTATTACATTCTTGGGTTCTAAGAACATGTCGTGGTAGGCCTATAGGAATGCCGGGGCGGTCGGTCCCTGCTCAATCCTCTTCCTGACCCCGCATCTTCTTCATTCCACAGGGCTTTCAAAGCAGATCATTTCCACTAGAAACCGCAGGGCCCCACAGAGGCACCTCGGGCCCCACGCGACACAACCTCACAAGCCCCACAGCCCCACAGGCCAAACGCAGGCCCCACAGGCCCACAAGCGTTGTTCTGCTGTTCCGTTGTTCCCCCCACCCGGTGCACCGAGGGCGCTCGCCCCGCCTATATCGACAACAAGAGCAACATCCAATTTTCAGACTGCTCCCTCTTGGCTGCTCGCGTGCCATTCAGCACGTATATCCCAAACCCTGGATACCCGCCCTTTCCGTCTTCGATCGTGCCCACTTGGGTGCAAGGTTTCCCTGCTTGCCACGTGTAGTGGGCGCAGCTTCCCATACAAGGGAAGGAAGGGGAAGGGAAGAAACAAGGGGGAGAGAGAAGGATGGAGCACGATAGAGATTTTCACTGCCCACCAAACCACTCCAACCCAAGCCGAAGGGCCCGATTTGCCCTCCATTTCCGGTGGGGGGGGGGTCGGGGAGCATTGAAAAAACACATGCCTTCCCCCAGACCCGAAGTTCTGGCGAAATGCAGGTCTTCGTATTGGGTTGTGGGATGGTCTGGTAGGTGGTCAGATTTGCAGCAGGGGGGGGCTGGCAGCAGGAGCACAAACGTCAAAGCCAGACGGGCGAGTCGGGCGGGCGGATTCTGACGGGCAGGTTGGGCGGGCGGACCTAGACGGCTGGGTTGATCGGGCGGGTCGCTGAATCGGGGGAGCGTAAGACCCGGGTTTGCCAGGACTCGGGTTCGCCATCGTTTTTTGACGACCCCGCCTCGGATTTTGACGAGGAGGAGTTTCGTGGGATGTCTGCAGCGGGAGGCCTCGTCAAAATGCAGGCTCGGCCTCGTCATTTTTTTGACGACCTCGTCGGGGATTTCCGAGTCCCCCGTACCCGGGTCTTACGTCTCCCCGAACCTAGACGGCTGGGTTGATCGGGCGGGTCGCTGAAGCGTCACCCAACATGAATCGCAAGGAAGTCTCGAGCGATAGCGCCTTTTTGAATGAACTGTTGAGGAGAATCCACATCGAGAGCGCGATTCCTGAGTGCTGGGGGCACGGCGCCGTAATACATTGTGAGAAAGTACCTCGCGAGAGCGCGATTCCTGCGCAAATGCGGAGGAAGTGCCCGCGGGTGCGCGCTGTCGAAGTACATTGTGAGGAAGTATCAGGCGGGAGCAGGTGTTGTTGCAAAACGGCACCCGACAACGAAAAGTCGAGGAGGAAGACTTTTCTCCTGATGAAAAAACATGGTGCGACCCCCAGGATGAGCAGTTGTTGATTTGACAAGCACAAGAATAACAGGTGGACCAGAGGGAGGGGATCTATATTTATTGTCAAGGATATGAGGGTTCAACAGCACCGCCCCGCAGTTCCATGTAACATGAGAACTTCGAGAGGGGGGGAGCTTCGGAAGCCCCCAATCCGCACCGGTAAGCCCAGGCTTGCCTTCAGGAGAAGGGGGGGGGAGCTTCGGCTCCCCCCCCAAGCCCCGGGCAACCCCCAGCTTCGCAAAGAGGAGGGGTGGAGGGGGGGGGGAGCTTCGGCAGCCCCCCACCCCCCTTGGAAAGCTAAATCCAGGCTTAGCTCAGAAACTTCCGAGCTTCCGAAGCCCCCCCTCCCTACAGCAGGGAGGGCAGTAGATTCCGACCCCCCCCTTGCAAAGGACAGCCCGAGCTTCTCCTGGCCCCCACAATGGAGGGGGGTGGGGCTTCCGAAGCCCCCTCCCCCCCTCCCCCTCGGTTTCCGAGGTTGTTGAGAAGGGGGGAGGGTAGCTTCGGACGCCCCCATCCCCCTGGTGAAATGCGGGGGGGGACAGCGGGCCCCCTTGTTGACGTGTCCCAGGTCCACGGTGAGTTCTGAGAACCCCGGGGCTGGTGGTCGAATCGTCCTTCTCGGCTCCCCCCCTCGCTCGGATCAGTAACACTTTAGAGTAGGAAGCAGGAAGTAGAAAGTAGTATTATCACACTGAAAACTGGCACAGGGAGCAGGAAACCCAATCCGCGCGTTCAGCGCATGTGTGTGTGTATGAAGGGCTTCGCCCTCTGCGACCAGCCCCTCGTGACAGCTGGGGAAGTACACGCAGAAAGAGAGAGAGAGAGAGAGAGAAAATAAAAAAAGGGATGAGGAGAGGGAGAGAGAGAGAGAGAGAGAAAAAAAAAAAGAAAGTACAGTGAAGAAGCCCCCGCTTCGCGTTTCGCGGCTCGCGAAGCGCGAGCCTGGGAGGCCCAGATCGTCGACGTCCTTGTCGTCGCCGTCGTCCCGGCCCATGATTTTGACGTGGCTATTACTCACAGCGTGAGCCGGACAGATCTCGACCCCACCACCGAGGACAGGTTTGCATCGCGGGCGGTCCTCTCGTGGTCCATGGCTCCAGGCACAGAAACAGTGCGCCCACTCGCGCTTCTTCTGCGACTCCTGGAAGTCTGTGAACGACGACGACGGCGACAGTACTGACGACTCCTGGTGACGACATGGACGACGACGGTCACGAGGACGGCGGGACGACGACGGCGATGACTCGGGAGAGGAAAAAACACACAGACACAATTCATCGGGGACTCCCAGGACAACGTGGGAAACTGTGGGAAACGTGGGGGGGGGGGAAGACGAACACCCAGAAAGTATTGGAAAACGTGAGGAACCTTGGGATTTGTGCGTATATGTCTGTGTGTGTGTCTGTGTGTGTGTCCCTCTGTGCAAGCTCTTCGGCACCGCCTGCACCCCGGGTTCCGCCCGCTCCGGCCGCCTGAGGCCCCGCCTTCCTGTGCCCTGTCTCCCTGATTAAAGCTGTGCGTAGACCGCCTAGCTTTTACAAGGGCTCCCACGAGGGCGCGAAGTTATTCGCGCTTCGCGGTCCTCGTTCTTTCTCCCCCCTCCTCCTCGTCCTCCTTTTCTCCCTTTGGGGGGGCGGCGCGAGGGCGCGAAGTTATTCGCGCTTCGCGGAGCGCGAAGCGCGAAGTTGGGAGCCCTAGTTTTAGCGGAAGAGGTTCGCTCTCGCCCCGCAGCCCAAAAAGTGTGTGTGTGTGTGTGTCCTTGGGCCCCCTTGGTGACGTTGACGACCTCGCCCTCCCTTTGCTTGGAGGTGCACCACCGGCACTCGGAGGCCTTCCGGGACGTGCTGATGGCCCTGGCGCGCGAGGAGGCCTTCCAGGCCCGCAGGGGCGCCTCCTCCAGAGCGGCGGGGCGCCCCCACCCAGAGGGCTCCTCCTGTCCCTCCTCCCTCCTCCACCCTCCTCCTCCCTCCCTCCTCCTCCCTCCTCCCTCCTCCTCCCTCCTCCCTCCTCCTCCCTCCTCCCCCTCCTCCCTCCTCCTCTTCCTCCTTCTCCTCCTCCTCCTCCGCCTCCTCCGCCTCCTGCTCTCTCCTCCCCCTCCTCCTCCTCCTTCTCGCTCCTCTCCTTCCTCTATATCCCAATAGGTCACCCGAACGGGCATCTCTTGCACGACTTGCACTTCAGGGTGCCACTCTTGTCGCCGTGCTCGAGGACTTTCGTCACCGGGCGCGTGCCACCTCTCGCAGAGTGCCTACTCGCAAACGTCAGAGCAAAAGCACGTACTTGCCTCGAGGTGATGTATCGTGCATCTCCCGCGGCGGATCCAGGCTGTTTGCGAGCAGTCCCAGTGATTCGTGGAGCGCGCCTGTCTGCTTCAGGACGGATGAAGCGTGACACGGCTCCCGGGGGTTCCCGTGGCCCACGCGCACGCCCCCACGCCACCATTCAGAGTCGAAGAAGACACAGTTGCAGAAGCATGCTTTGCCCGAGCTCCACGCGGCGCTCTTGGATCGGCGCGGGGCTCCCCGTGGGCGGCGCGCGCCCCCCCCAGAAAAAAAAGCACGCGCGACACCGAAGAGCATGCACGGGGAACCCACGTCCGAGCGATGGCCAGGCCCATCCTGAGCCTCCCGAGTTGCCCCCCCCCCACGAGGAGGAGGAGGAGCAGGGGGAGGAGGAGGAGGAGGAGGAGGAGGAGGAGCGACACCACGGGTCGTTCTCGACGGCCCTGGGTCCCGAGAAGGCCGCCTGGGCAGCCCGTTCGGGGACAAGGCCTGCCGTGGCCAGGACTCGAAGCAGAAACAACGCCACAAAAACAAGCTGTTGTCGCTCCGCGCGGATTTCTTGGATCCTCGCTGGGCCCCCCGGCGGCGCCTCTGGCGCCGCTCCCGGCGCGCTCCGCGCGCCAGGGAGAGGGGGGGTCCAGCGCAGATCCAAGAAATCCGCGCGGAGCGCCAAAAAGTTTATGTTTATGGCGTTGTTTCTTCTTCTAGTATGGTGGCACGATGACTGTAGTGAAGCAAAGCGCCACGTCGGATGTCGGGAAGACGCGACAGCAGTGCGTGGCAATGCCACCATGCCCGCAGCACAACCGCACGGCGTCGAGCTGCAGCACGACATCGTGCGCGTAGCAGAACCGCGTCCAGTGAGCTGCTCGACGACAGGTCTCGGTCAGGACGCACCCCAGGAGAGGCCCCTGCAGTGGCAGCCGCAGTATCGCTATCGCTATCGCTATCGGCTCGATGTCCAGTTGGACGCAGCCGTCCGCGCGGCCGAAGCTACGCGCGCGCGCCCGAGGCGCGTGGGGGGGGGTCACCCCCCGACGTCGTCGTCGTCGTCGTCGGCAGCCGCAGTAAGGTCTCCTGTCGGGCGCACCGCCTCGCTCTAGGTGCTCTTCGTGCTGCCAGCGCTGCTGCCAGGCGAGCGGAGCGTGCCAGCGCGCTCCCAGCGCACGTCGCGCCGCCAGCGTTGCCAGGAGGCCTGCCGAGAGCCCAGGCCCAGACGGCTTCCGAGAGATTCCGCGAAGCCCCCCGAAGAGCTCCCGGCAGCAGCCCCGAACGCTTCCGAGGCCCGACCGATGATCCTCAGGACGTGTGTTAGCCCAATGTGTATTTACCCCTCTCAGCCCAACCAGGTTGTATCGCCTGCGTCGTATCGAAGAGACCTTGGTATCGCTCGGACGTGTGCATTCTTCCTTCGGCGAGGACCATCGAGGAGCATTCTTGATCAGTTGGCGAAATATCACGCGCGAAACCGAAGAAAACACAGGGAATGGACGTCCGAGAGATGGCCAGAGACACGATGGACAAACGCACGTTGGGGCCAACACACGCTCTGAGGATCATCGATCCGAGGCTGGGATGTGTCCAAAACCACCGCCTGGGGGACCGATTGTCGGGGACCTCAGCAGGCGGTGGGATCCGGATGTGCTCGGGCCCTGGGGATTTGGGCGTTGCGTAATAGGGGGGTCATAAATGGGGGGGTGGCGAGGGTGGTCCGAAAAGGTACCCCAACGGTACCCAAACGAGCCCCCTGGGGCCTCGGAGGGGCCCGAAAGGGGCACGAAAGGGGACCGTTTCTGACCCCCCCATTTGTGACCCCCCCATTACGCAACGCCCAAGGGATGGAGGCGGCATCCGCGCCCGCCGCCGACGCCCCCGAGGGTCGATCCCCCAGGCGGCGGCTCGTGGGGAGAAGCCGCCGCGTCGCACGAGCGCCTCCTCCGAAGGCCTCGCCGAGCGGCCTCGCGGAGGGCCTCCGAGGGCGAAGCCTCCGGGGGGGAAGCTCGGGGGGGGGGTGTCAGGGAGGAGGAGGAGGGGGAGGAGGAGGAGGGGGAGGAGGAGGAGGGGGAGGAGGAGGAGGAGGAGGAGGAGGAGGAGGAGGAGCCCACACGACACGACGCCGCGCAGAAAAATGGCGGAAACACTGAAAAAACACGGGAGGTCCGCGCGGATTTCTCGGATCGGCGCTGGACGCCCCTCCTTGGCGCGCGGAGCGCGCCAGGGGCGGCGCCGGAGGCGCCGCCCGGGAGTCCAGCGCGAATCTGAGAAGAATCCGCGCGGACCTCCGAGTTTTTGTGCTGATGTCGTGGTTCGCTCCCCCAGGGAAGGGGGGGGGCATCGGGCGGCGGGGGGCGATGCTCTCTCTTGGAGGGCACGCCGCGGCTTCTGGAGGCCCTCGAAGCGGCGGCGCGACTGCCGCCGGGCGCGGAGAGCGGGTGGCCCGGCGCCTCGGTTCCTCTCAAGCAGTGGCGAAGCGTCCTGGCTCGCCTATGGCCCTACCAAGCAATGTTCTAAGAACCTGTTGTGGTTTTCACGGAATTGTCTTAGAACAGTTCTGGCTGGGGCTGTCTATGAACAGTGTTTCTGTTCTTGGAGCATTCCTGGGTTCTGAGAACATTTCGCGGTAGGGCACAGAAATTCCGGGACGGTCGGTCCCTGCTGAATCCTCTCCCGCGTCGCCTGCGTCGCCTCGTCGCTCGTTCCCCCCTCGGTGCAGCGCAGGCCGCGGCGACCGAGGGCGCCGCCTCGTCCCGCAGGGCCGCCTCCCAGGGCGGCGGCGCGCCGGCCGCCGAGGCGCCTGGCGGCGGCGTGCGCGGGGGGGAGAGGTGCCCCTACCCGTGCCCATCGTTCGTTGAAAGTGAGTATCTTTGGAGTCCCAGATTCCAGTCTGCTCTAAGCGCCTTCCTGCTTCAATGATCGAGTGGCTTCGCCTTTTCCGTCCTCTCCAGGGGTCGGGCGGACACCCAATCTCTTTCCAACGCCTTCCTACTTCATGTTTCTACCTGCTTCTCCCGACCGATGGGTACCCTTCCCCCGTCTGTCTCCTTTTGTGGCCTCCTGGGAGGCCCTCGTCGCCACCGCTGGACTCGCCTCGAGATTCTGGTCAGAACACACCCTGGGAGAGGTCCAGGGAGCAGCGATATCCGTGCTTTTCGCGGCGTGCTCGGGGGGGGTCCGCCGTTTGCTGGCGGTTTCGGCTGCTTTTCCCGAGGCGTCCCGAGGTTTCGATGGTGTCAAGGCTTAAGCAGAGATCAAATACAGCTCAAGCAGAGCTCAAAGCTCAAGCAACTTAAACAAAGCCCAAGTAAAGGTCATGTCTGCGCAAGAGCAGCATTATAATATTTGTTGTTCTGTGGTCCTCAGACTCGAACCCGCTTGCCACAGAAAGGGTACAGCGGGGGTCGTGCGAAGTCCCCGCCGAGCTTTTCCACGTCCCTGCCAAGTGCTGCTGCGTCGGTGTGGCAATTGCAGCGAACACGTCATCTTTCTGGCGTTTTCGACGGTCCCCCGAGGCTTCCCGGAGCTTCGACGGTTTTGCTGCGGCTCCCCTGGCGCTCCACCTTCCACCTTGTTCCACCAAGTCAGGTGGCTGATTCAGCAATCTTCCGGGGGGGCAAGAACTGCATAAGAAAAAACACGCTCGAAGCTCCGTGCGGAGTTCTTGGATTAGCGCCGGGAGCCCCCCTGGCTGCGCCTGCGGCGCCGCCCCCGGCGCGCGGAGCGTGACGAACGAACAACACGCGCCGATACCCATAGGGGGGTCGTCGGGAGGAGGACTGGCTATGGGTAAGTACGGGTGCGGGTTGTCGGACCTTGGGGAACGCTCCCGTTCGAGCGGGGACCCCCATCCGACAGCACGTGCCCGTAGCACTCTCCGATCCCCCCCATGGGTATGGGTGTGTGTTGTTGGCTCGTCAGAGCGCGCCAGGGAGGGGGGTCCAGCGCAGGTTCAGGAACTCCGCGCGGACCGTCGACCGTGTACGGTAGGTTTGCGTCGTGTCGACCAGCGGCGACCCCAGCGCGGGCGTTCAAGGTTGAACGCCGCCGGCGACCCAGAATCGATCGATGTTGAACGATCGGACGTTGCGGCAGCGGCCGATCGTTCAAGGTTGAACGATCCCTGCGGTGTCAAAAACCAGCGCCGGGGTCGGCACGACACGAACCTGCCGTATGCCGGTGTCAGTTTTTGTTGTTTTGATTCGGTGTCCCCACGACTGGGCATCGCTCGGACGTGTGCGTCTTTTTCTCGGCGAGGGCCATCGAGGAGACCATTTTTCGCGAAAACACGCGCACGAAACCGAACAAAAGCACAGGGAAGGGACGTCCGAGCGATGGCCAGAAGAGCACCTCGGATGATTCCCCAATCAGTGCTTGCACTGAAGGGGTCATAGCGGATGTTCCCTGATCCGTGCTTGCACTGAAGGGGTCCTAGCGGACATTCCCCGACCAGTGCTTGCATTGAAGGAGTCCTAGCGGATATTGAAAGAGAAGGCGAATGTTTCACGCCGATTTTGGTGGCAGGCCAGGTTCCCGGGTTCCCGGATCCGGGTTCCCGGGTTCCCGGTTCCCGGGCCGATCTCGGTGGGCGGCGAGGTTCCCAG